ACCCAGTGTGCTACACACGATGGACCACTGTTCCTGATCAAATAGGGCCCTATCTTTCAGCAGACTACTGCTACAGTCTGGTACATTAAAGAGGATTACACAATTTGATCTGCTAACCGTGGGCTTGGGCTCGGTCCTCTCACATCTGTGATCCCTTTTAAGACCGTTTTGTTTCGTCTGGTGCGACTGGGTATTTTTGTGTGTCTCAGTGCTATGGCCAGTATTACTGGCAGACGATAGGGGTCTTTTTCCAACGACGGAAACCCGTGGTGATCCAGCCTCTGTGTCTGGAGCGGTTATGTCAAGAGTTACAAGTTTAACCGGTGAGGATTTTGGTATCCCCGGTTTACGTGCGTTTGTACTAATTTCCGGATTGGTGGGGGTAGAACATTTCACATTTTTCCCAGCTGCTTTTGCGCCAACTTTAGTTTTCAGAGGACTACTCGAGGCTACATCAGGACGGCAACTCGGGCATATGTACCGGAACCATTGGCATGGGTTCTTACGCATAAAGTCATAATATGCTTTTGGTACCCCATTGTCGCATCTGCAATGCACCCATCGCTTGCAAAAGTTACATTCGAAAGCAGAGTCTGCTTGTTCGACAACAGAAGCGCAGACCTTGCAGTCGTCTGCCTTCTTGGGGAGCGTTCTTGTCGTCTTGCGACGTCGTGAACGTTTCTTTTTGGCCTTCCTATTTGTTTCATGGTCTACCATGGGGATGGGTGTTATGCAGTTCTCACTTAGTGCAATTTTCCCACTCGGCTCTGTTAACCTAGTCGTGTTAACAGGGGTGGAGCCACATCCACTTGGCTGACTTTGCACAGCTTCACTGTAGGACTGTGGCGACATGGGTAATCTGTACGAGCAGGGAATATTTGCCCTGGTCTTCAAGACCGGTATGCGTGAGTCCATCAGCTTCACCTGTTTGCCTAGTTTGGCTGAAGCCCTGGTGACTACGGAGTATGATGTCCCATTACTTATTTTAGGGTGAGAATCTATTGTCATTTTACTCCTAAATTAATACTGGTGATTAAAAAATAAGAGACTGTTATTTTGTCCAATAGACTTACAGCAAAAGACAATAGAGAGCACAGAACAGAAGGATAAAGTGTGTAGGTAAAAGCTTATGACTTTACCTGTAACTTTTGGGTTATTCGGCTTCACAGCAATCACGCAACAGACCAACAAGTCCCGTATATTTGAAAGAGTGAGGAGGATGTTGCTACAGAAGTAGCACCTGAAGCTTTGGCAGTAGTTCGAGACAGCGGGAAGTACCACACACAGGCTCGGTGAGGAAGAAATGGTTGAATGAAATTCGCCGGGTAGGAAGATCAGGTTTCCCAAACGAATCATTCACAAAGTTGGATATTTCCGGCTAGAGAGGAAGCTGTTAATTTCTATCAACGTTGCATAACTGATGATGGTCATATAGAAATCAAGTCTGAAGTTAAGTAAGTTGGATTAATTCTTTCTTCTGACCAATTCTGGTCTTCCGGTGTTTTAGCGATTTATAAAAGAATATTTCCGCCAACTTTTCAAATTAAGTTAAGGCACTCAGGCATAACTCAACCCCTCCTCTTACAGTTCGTTAACTCTAACCTACTCTTCTTTACTGTTCATCCTTATTCTTTCCTGGATTGCTTACAAAGACTGTGTCACACTTCGTAGAACTCTGAAGACTGTCAGTAGGGCGAGTAGTCTCCATTTGGGCCTTTTCGTTGCAATCGCCATTGACGATGGGCACTTGATTTTTTCAGACTGTGAGCATTCACTTTACCTGTAGCTTTCACTTTGTGCTTACTCAGGTAAGACAAGAAATTATTTCAAAAGACTGTATGCGTGCACGTCTTAATATAAAACATCCACGATACCACATTTAGCACGTATTTTATGTGATGGAAATAGTATCATGGACTAATTAGCTAACATTTTCTGCTCTGGTGAATTAACCGTTCTCCCCGTCCCAATCCCATCAAGCTTTACTATTATTATTCCTATATTTATAATCCTCTCTCGAAAATTTTTGACTTGATACCACAACTTTGGACAACAGCCTGCGGCTAATTTATATTTTAAGTAATTCAGATGCAATGGTGTGACAAATGCTGAGAATTTCATTCCGCATCATAATTATTGCTTTTCGAATTTAAGTAGATTATTGTCATTAGACTCGGATGACGCCACTTTATCCTGCTTGACCTGTTTCATAGAACTCATCACACAGCGCATCAACCCTCAATGTATATTGTATGTAAGCATAATGCTTATGAGCTAGGCATGCAAATGAAAGTAAACGCTTGTACGGTACTTTCATTATTTATAAGACTAACTAGTATATAGGGACTGCGATTTGACCACTTATAGGTTTGATATGTTTAGACACAATCAACGTACGCTGCTTACGTATGACACGTAACTACCTTAAAATAGTTTCCGCTGAAGGTAATCTCCTATAGCTACTACCTTAGTGAGTAACTTAACATTATCTCTGATTTACAAAGTAAAAGTCGACATCATGAGAACTTTTTTGACAAAAAGATCGTTTCCTAGTCGAAAAACATAAATATATCCTAATCTTCACGAAAGCATTTAGAGGTATTTATCCTATCACCTCAAATGACTCACTATTTGCAGTCACTCAAGTAAAAATAAAATTTACCGAAAACAGTGCACATATGATTTCTAGATATTACAATGCACCATGATGAAAAAGCTATATCCATAGGGTTATACAGTTAGGCGCGCGATATAATTCCAAAACACAACGACTACGGTTCCGAATCACAGAACATTCTAATTTTACTACCTAATCGTCTAATCGTATCAGCAGATGTTTTAGAGAGAAAAAGAAGACCACTGATTCAAGAAATTTATACTTAAAGTTTTCTTAAAAATCATGGACATCCGTATTAATAGCCACGGAGAAATTACAAACATCCGAAAAATAAGAATTTCACTATTTCGAACTGAAGCAAGCGATTTGTATTCAGCCAATGATTTCACCCCAAATAATAATCGGCTTCTCAGCTTGTGAATTCGAGAAATCCACCCGTTGTAGACCACAACCCGAGACGTTATTCTTGCTAATTAAAGTCTTACCTTTAACTGGGATAGTTCGCATACTCACCAAATTATCGTATTTTATCAGCTCTTTAAATCTTTTTACCGCATATTGAATGGTTGTTTACATTGGCTTTACAACAGGCAGTCCTGGTTCATGTATTTGTATCTAGTACTTTAGGCATTATCAACCAGAGGTATCACCTACCCTCTAGAAGTTTCTGATTGCTCTCCAGTTTCTTTTTTCCAAAAAACACATACAAGCACAACATATGCAAGATTCTCATGTGGCACACTTGTGTGGTTTAGATTCTCACACAATACATTGGGTGTTTGTTAACTGTTAATGGACGCACTGATGGTATACTCACCTTCAGGAAAAGCCTGAAAGCTTTTTTAACTTCAAACCAGATTCAAAATTATGAAGGTTTAATATGCTCTTCGAAAACCTTGCTAATATCAACTCTGCTCGTGTTCTCTTCACCAGATTGACTCGTAGATTGTTGCATGGTTTAAATACGAACGTCAAAGATATTGTTTTTTTCCGAATTTCTACATGTTAGGTGAGCAACTGAGCCAGTAGTAATAATGGCAACTATTAAATGAACTGGAAACAACCGTTTCTGCCATCAGAGCATGGTCGTGTGCGTAATTTACAAAACTTCCACACAGCACTGTTTCACTAACAGCTGAAAAACAACTAAAACACTGCAACCACGCATTAATACAACGTATGAAACAATTACAATGAAATGAATGAACTGACCTGGTGGTAAAAACTTTCGAAACGAACAATATGACTAATTTTAGCAACAACGAAAACAAAACTGGGGTGAATTGCGACATTTTGAGCAATGTGTATCAAGATAAGTTGTGAAAATTTGCAGGATAAACGTGAAAACCAATGCGTAGATGAACGGTTATATAAGGCCAATCCAACATTGCCGACTAAATTGGACGAAAGTGACCTTCGGGCGACTAACTCTTCCAATGACGTTGGGCATGCGGGATAATTTCAGTCTCCATTCAGCTTACACTATCCTGTGAGAAGAATATTGTGAGGCCACACCTTGAGGTGCATAATATCATTGCACCTCCGCTACTCAAAAGGGATGCTAACATTCTAGAAAGCGTCCAGAGACGAGCGACAAAATGGGTGATCGGCCTCCGCTACAAATCATATGAGGAAAGACTAAAGAAATTAGGTCTTTTCACACTTAGTTACCGTAGGCACAGGGGAGACCTCATCACCGTCTACAAGATCCTAAATGACCAGGCCCACCCAAATAAAAGCATCCTGCCATTAAGCGATTATAGGCTTCCACGAGGTAACCCGCTAAGGATAGCACACCAGAGACCAAAGACTCGAGTGCGATCACATTTCTTTTCGCTCCGTGTTTGCCGTCTCTGGAACGCTTTACCGGCGGCCGTGACTACAGCGCCATCTCTGGAGATTTTTAAGCGGAAGCTAGACAATCATGCAGAAATGCAAGGTTTGTGTCTCAATGGCTTATCCTCATAAAATTTGAAACCACACTGTCAATGGATAGGCGTACAAACTAAATCCCCACGACCTATTCTGCCTTCTCTCACTCTATCTTTTCCTTATGTCACCTTTATTATTCCACTTATCTCAACCTATATTATCTACACTACAACCTATTATTATTATTATTATTACTATTCTGCTTTTTATGACTACACCGAATGACCAAGGGGAGTTAGGTCAAACTCCATTCACGGCAGCAATACAGTCCTAACATACTGCATACTACAAACCACATCTCGACCAATCCCCGCACCACTCCTCCTGGAGTCTACCAGAGCTAAAGCAGTCGAGTGTCGGGACTTACTACGCAGAAGCTCACCGAAGATCTGGAACCTCTACCTCACAATCAAGAAGCGAGCTCAAAGAAATCACTGGTTTATACTAGCTCGTAATCTAAGCGCGCGCTCCTTGAATACGACGTGCTTTTTCCTCTCCAACCGGAAAATACCAATTCTGTGAATTATCCGTTTGGGAAACCTGATCTTCCTAGCCGGTGAATTTAATTCAACCATTACTTACATAGTAAATCTCTGTGTGGTAAGTCCAGCTGTCTCGAACTACTGCCAAAGCTTCAGGTGCTACTTTTGTAGCAGCATCTTCCTCACTCGTTCAGAGAAACAAGACTTGTTGGTCTACCACGTGATTGCCGTGAAGCCGATCATTCAGAAAGTACTAGGTAAAGTCGAAAACCTTTTCTTTTCCTTGCCTTACACTTTTTCAGTCTTATTCTTGCTCTTTTGGTTAGAAACTGTTGCTCTCTTAGACGTACATAGCATAATTTATAGTGATTGTTAATATGGTTGTTGAAAGCAGCCTTAAAAAAGCCACTAGAATACCGTACTCTGTAGTCACAAGGGCTTCAGCCAGGGAAGGAAAAAATCCAGGGATTTCAACCCCTTCCCGCATACCGATCCTAAAGACTCGTGTAGCTTTAGTCTGCCCTGATACAACGCCTGCATTGCCACAGTCTAGTACTGAAACGGCACAGGCAATACCACAAGGACAGAATTCTACACCTGCATCAACTGTAGGCCAGTGTGTGAAACACATCAAGCCTAAAAGGAAACGTTCAAGACGTCATAAGACCTCGAAGGCGTCATCAAGGAAAGGGGATGAATGCCAGGCGTGCAGCATCACAGTTTCTAAAACTGATTCAGCGTTTGAATGTAATTTTTGCAAACGATGGGTGCACTGCCGTTGTGACAAAGAAGTACCGAAAGCATACTATGAGTTTATGAGAAATAACCCATGCCCATGGTTTTGGTACGTGTGTCCACTTTGTCGCCCTGGCATAGTCCCACAAAGCGTGTCTGCGGATAGCAGAAATAACATGCTCTTGTGCCCCAACACAGTATCATGCAGCTCCCCCCTGCTAAACTCGCACTGCCGAAACTGGTCAAAGACTTAAAGAAGGACACACCAGCCCTACTGACTGGAAATGCCAATTCTCACAAGGTGAAGATTAGCAAGGTTCCATCCACATCAAGGGAGGGCAAAATTACAAAGGCACCACTTGCATCCACTAGCAAGCCTGGCAACACAAAAAAGGCTGTCCAGGTACCGACGAAGCCTAATGTTGCTAATGATGCAAAGGACTGCAAGAAGCCGAAGGCAAAACCTAAGTCTGAGGGTAGTCGGTCTAACTCTCTCATCCTCTTTAACGTACCTGTGAGCACGGATAGCTTGCTCGAACAACGGGCCCTGTTTGATCAGGAACAGTGGTCCAACCTGTGCGGCAAACTAGGTCTGAACATTAGTTCAGCAAAACTGTGCAGACTGTACAGGGGTGTCCACACGCCTCAGGGTAAGCCACCCCCATTACGGGTTACACTGGACTCTGCCGAAGAGGCCGAAAAAGTACTGTTAATGGCTCAGGTACTAGCCCTGGACAGAAGTTCTAACATAAGAGCGCGGCAAGATAGACCATGGGCCGTCAGAAATATGGCGAGGGAGTCACCGGAACTGATGCCTTCCACCTCTATGGTGGTACACGGTGTTCCGGAGCTGGAAACCGGCACTGCTTGTGAAAAACACATGCACGACGTACAACAATGGAGATGGCTGTCATCTCAGATGGCCCCTGGCGCTTCTGGAGCCATCTCCATTTTCCGACTACCTCGTCCCGCTCATCTAACATTGATTAACTCTCCAAAGCTGCTGTGTGTCACATTCAACTCCCCGGAGCAGTTGTCCATATCACTTCAACGGTGGTATGAGACCAAGGGAAAAATTGGAGGACACATCCGATGCTGTGAAAGCAGACCCAGAAATATAAGGAGGCAGCAAACTGAGGCTTTAATACGACCCCAAGCTTCGGTGACACTAGAGCGATGCAGCTCTGAGAATAATAGTCTGTGTCTCCCAAGTGTCCTGCCTAAATCCATTGAAAAAAACTACAACGGGCCGGTTCTATCGGAATCGGCCAACTAGTTCCAACATCAAGTCCCCCACCAGCAGACGGTTTCACGTCAACTACCCCACAACACTCTGAGGTTGTTAGACTCACTGTCAGTTGCCTATATAGCAATGTGAGGGGGCTGAGAGGGAAAGTAGGTGAACTCCGAAATCTCCAAGCACACCTTCAACTGAAAATAATCATTCTTACTGAAACGTGGCTAAACCCCACTATCGCCGACAATGAAATCAGTATAGGTGATATGGTACTGGTCAGGAGAGACAGGGATAATAAGGAAGGAGGGGGAGTTGCTATATACTTTGATAGGCAACTTAAATGTGTGCGCGCAACGGACCCACCACTTATCGAACTCCCAGACTCCATATGGTGTCATTTCACCGTAGGCCACACCAAGCACTTACTGGGTGGCATCTACCGATCTCCCACCTGTGGGGCAGAGCACAATCAGCTACTGCTCAGCACTATCACAGGAATACGAGATTTGGGTTACGACCAAATCACCATAGCTGGAGATTTCAATGCTCCATCACTGAACCTTGGCTCCGGGTGTGCTAAGGGAAAATTTGGCCGAAACCTACTGCAAACTATTCGAAACACGGGACTGACTGAGAATGTTGGAGACGACACTAGGTGGGGCCCTAGTGGAAAGTCATCAAAACTAGATTATATTCTAACTAGTGACCAGCTACTCGTCGAAAAGGTCCAGATCATGACTCCTCTGGGAAGCAGTGACCATGCAGTCATAGGTTTCGATCTTGTCCTCCGTGAGCGTTTGCAATGGGATGTTACGCGACCATGTCTGTGCTACAGCAAGGCTGACTATGCTGAAATGCGGAGGCTCTTGTCCGACGCAGACTGGCCCTTAGCATGGGACGACCTATCTGTGGATGAACACTGGGAAGTGGTAAAAAAGATTATCCATGCAGCAATCTCGGATACCGTCCCTTTAGTCACAACACAGCCTAAGAGAAAGACGTCATGGTTGAAGAGAGGCACGCAACGTATTCTGCAAGCAAAGCGGAGGGCTTGGTTTACGTGGCGTGTATCTAAGAGTCAGACCGACCATGATGCATACCTCGAACTCAGGAACCGGTGTAATGCAAGAGTTAGGAGGGACAGAAGGTCATTCCAGGCTAACCTTGCTAAAAAACTCCTATCAAACCCTAAAAACTTGTACCGATTCATGTCGGAAAGAAAACCGACAAACCAAGGGGCATGCGCCTTAGTAGGCCCAAACGGTCAATATCTCACTAGTCTGGAGATGGCTGAAACATTCAGTTCAGCCTTCGCTAAACAGCTAAACAGCAATGTGGATATTACAGTTACGGACCAAAATGGTGGCACCACTATTTCAGAGGAGGAAGACCTAGCGACTACTCCCCAAATAAACCCCGCAATAGTACTAAGGAAGCTACAGCGACTCATACCTGGGAAGTCCCCAGGTTGTGATGACATCAGGCCATCTGTTCTGAAACAGTGCGCCGAGGCTCTCTGTAGACCCCTGTGCGACTTGTTCCAACACTCAATGGATTCGGGGACCCTGCCAAGGGAGTGGAAAAGAGCCATCCTTTCTCCAATCTTCAAGGGTGGGGACAGGCAAAACGCTGCTAGCTATAGACCAGTAGCTCTACTCCCAGTGGTATCAAAAGTACTGGAAAGTATTATTGACGACCACATCAGGGAATATTTCGATAGGACTAATATACTGCATGAAGCCCAACATGGTTTCAGAAAAGGCAGATCCTGCGTCACTAACCTACTGTCAGCTTGGGACGACTGGACATCATGCTGGGACTTGAACGTACCAGTCCATGTGGTCTTCCTAGACTTTGAGAAGGCATTTGACACTGTTCACCATGACCTTCTCCTACATAAAATAAGACAGGCAGGCATAGGTGAGCCACTTCTGTCATGGTTGAAGGACTACCTAGCCGACAGGCAATTTTGCACTAAGGTTAACCGAGTCCGATCATCTTGGCACAGATCGTCATCAGGAGTGTCGCAGGGTTCTATCCTAGGACCACTGATGTTTTTGATTTTCATCAATGATCTACCACGCCGTCTGAGCTGCCCGACTCTCCTGTACGCTGACGACGTAAAAATATGGAGGGCGATAAAGTGTCCGGAGGACTCAGATAGGCTACAGGAAGACCTAAACCTTCTGGAAGACTGGGCGGTGGCCAGTGGCATGACTTTCAACTTGAAAAAGTGCAAAGTAGTGAAGTTGCGCACCTGTAGACTGCAGAATGCAAGTTACACCCTGTGCAATGAAAGCTTGTCCTGCACAACGTCGGAACGCGACTTAGGTCTAGTTCTAACGGAAAAAATGGACACAAGCGTAAATTACACAGGGGATGTAGCGAGGGCATATGCGGTCATACACTTTACGCATAGACAGTTAGGTGCACTCACTCCTGAGCTCTTTCTAATGTTGTACAAAACATACGTCAGGCCACACCTTGAGGTGCATAATATTATTGCACCCCCAATGCTGAGAAGAGATGCCAACCTCTTGGAAAGAGTCCAACGACGGGCAACAAAAGGAGTGGTTGGTCTCCGAAACAAACCATATGATGAAAGGCTGAAGAAATTAGGCCTGTTCACACTTAGTTACCGTCGGCTTAGGGGGGATTTGATTACTGCCTACAAAATAACAAATGACCAGAATCACCCAAACAAAGGTGTTCTGCCATTGAGTAGGTATAGGCTTCCACGTGGAAATCCCAGAAGGATAGCTCACCAGAGGGCAAGGACCCGGGTGCGCTCCCACTTCTTTTCACTGCGGGTTTGTCGTCCCTGGAATTCCTTACCGGCAGATGTAGCTATGGCACCGTCTTTGGACGCCTTTAAGCGAAGGCTGGACAACCATGCAGCGATACAAGGACTGCATCCAAATGGCCTATCTCCTTAAAATCGCATTTACCAATCAGGGTAGATAATTAAACTCGTCATTTTACTTCTTTACATTCTCTCCCGTCTTACTCTCCTGACAACTTATTAATATTATAATTACTATTATTATTATTATTACTATTACTGATATATATATTATTCTTCAAACTTCATGAGCTGACTGTTGTTACGTTTCCTATTTTCGTTTCTGTCTCTTAGTCTGAATAGCTTCACTAATTATATCTATTATTATTATTATTATTATTATTATTACTATCTCTTTTCTCTTGTCGACAATACCGAAGGACTAACTGGCGAAAGGATCAACTCCAATCACAGTAGTAACAGTCTTAACATACCTCATACTACAAACCACATATAATTAATCCCAGCACTACTCCCTTTGGAGTCAACCAAAGCTACGACAGTCGAGTGGCGGGACAAGCTACGCAGAAGTTTACCGAAGATCAAGAACCTATACCTCACAATCAAGAAGCGAGCACAAAGAAATCAAATTGGTTTATACTAGCTCGTAAAAACGATATTGGATATTGGATATTGAATCAGGATATTGGATATTGGATTTACGGACAAAAGTGGACGCTAATTTAGGTTGTGCGTTACTACATCTGTTACTCAAGTTGCTGGTAGCAGACATTCTGTCCAGTTACACAGCAGTATATATATATATATATACATAACTTTGATGTCCTTTGAGGCAAAACTTACCACGCTAGTTTTCCTTTTGATTATTATTCGCAGATCGTGTGTATCTGTCGAGAGTAATAGGCCTTATTTTGTCAACATAGATGAAAATGACGCCGTCTGTATGGAGTACCGGCAGAACGTGTCGTTGTATATAAAAGACATAGTATATAATATGTCATCAAACACTGCGCCCGTTTCATTTTGTGGCTGGTGTGGTGGTGGATTACAGCGAATAAAGTCGATTGTAGAAAACCGTGAAATTCACAATGCAGATGGGAAGTCTTGCTACGATCTTTTGACCAATACAGAAAAAGTGAGCATCTCTTGATTTTGAAATTCCAAGTTATAAATATTATAATCAGTGTTATGAGGTGTTTACCACAGATAAAAACAGACTATTTTTAGCAATGTAAATCAAGTTACTAATGTAAGATAGAGTTTTAGTTATTCTAAAATTTCTGAAGTATATAAATGTAAATACTGACGTCGGTCCAGGTTCTACTGCTTATTCTACGATCCTATCAGCTCAAGCTGTTCATGTGCCCCGATTCTAAACTTAAGTATACAACTTATTTCCCTAACCATTCACTAATTTATCACTATAAAGTTTATAGTTTCATTTCGTAAAAGTTGTTCCGAACTAAATTACCATTGCCTTAGTTAAAAACAGACGATTTTGCAGAGTTCCCAGCAAAATTACTGACTTCGATCATCACATTTTGTCAGAAAAGAGAACGAAATCAAAGAGATATACTACAACGGTATAATAGGAAAAAGTTTTCATCTTAATCTTATGTCATTTACACATAAGGTTGGTAATTTCGTCCCACGATTTCTGTATTTCACGTATAAATTAACAGTGGACAGCAAAATATTAATTAACGTAATTAATACAGTTATAACTATAGTGTTCATTGCTGTTCTTCAGCAGATGAATAAACACGTATTTCTCCTAGTCAAAATGTTCAACAAAACTCCTTAATTTGCAATTTTTAGTGTTCTCTGAGCTCCTTGGTTTAATGGCGGAGCTTTCATCGTCTTTCTATTATTTCAAAACTCCTTAATTTTGCGCAGTTAACCATTCCAATAGATTTCAGACGCCACATGTAAGATATATATTGTTTGTCACTGTTATTGATATAAATGTGTCTGTTATCGGATAAACCTACTCCAAAAAGCAGTGACTACATTCTGTGTAATATAAATTCAATAAACAAGTGTTACTGAAGGGTACATTATCAGTCTTCATACTATGGTAGTTAGCGTCATAGACCTTAGCTTAAAAGAAACCTTCATGTTAATTCAAGTGGTAATTTTTAATCTATTTTCCTACCCTGATCAAAGATTGTTTAAATGAAATCTATTTTAAACTCTAACACTTTCTTTAGGTGATGTAAATATCATTTAAGTCATAGATCTTATATCATACAAACTATTTTACAACTTCTAGACTTTTCAGACGAAACAAACTTGCCTGAGTTTGTTTTTATTGAGGATTTTTTCGATAATGCTGAATTGCTTTTATTTTGTAAAATTCCTTATAATTTTTGTTTTCCAACGCGGCTTATGACTTCGGTGGTCTAGGTATGAAGATATTTTACCAAACAAAAATGATATTCTTCTTGGTGTAAAACCCATATATAAGGTGTAAGTTATAAGTAAATTAATAAGCTTTATTTACTTCAGGTGTTGTCCATCTAATACAATGAACCAATATCACTTTGTTTTATGTATCTTTTAACCCATTTGTAGGTACTTAATAAACGAATGATGTTTCTAACATACCATTTATAGATGCGGCGTGTAATAATAGGTATTGAGATATTAGTGTAAAACAGACTTTAACAGTATTAACCGACGCTTTTCTTCAGTCATTTGGGTTTACTACAAACGCTAATAGAGCATTCCACTAACGTACCGCGTAGTCGAACACAGCCTGGAGAAATGATTTACTCTGGACATCTCTACATTGGAACCTACATAAAATCATGTTAATGACAAGGCCTAACTTAGTGCAATATAAAGCCACCAGAAATACCAATGAATTGCCAATCGTTGTCATCATTATCGTTTTCTCCTCAAGAATGTATTTTATGAGTATTCGTATTTCCAGTTAATATTTAGACGAATAACAACTAATTAGCGGCGATGTGGCTTTCTAGTTAAAATGTGTCTTAATCTTTTACAATGAAATTTCAAGCAACCATCTGTTATACGTTCGACAAACGATTGGCTGTGTAAGAAATATTGCAACTGAAAATATGGAGCTACATGCAGATTTAGTGGTTATATTTATTAAAATTATCTATTTTCGGTTTATCTCCAATAAAAATTTGTCAGTTAGGGATGCTGTCACCAAGGTATGCAAAGAAGATACGAAAAATAAGCAAGGACAATAAAGTGTTTCGTAGATCCAATAATCAGCATCTCGCATACCATTTTATCAAGTTTCACCAAGCATTTTGTTTGTATACTGCCAGGACAATTATCCTACATATCTCAGATGTAATTCTAACGACAGAATCAGGTGGTGGAGTTGTGGGTTCATCGGTCGTTTAGGGTTTCGACTGCCACTCGGTGGGTCACGGTTTCAAACCCAGCCCCACCTGCCAAGTTTTTGGGTAGCTAGGTAGTGACATTAACCTCGACAGGATAGGTGTGGCTCATTATCAACTGCATGGAATTGCAAGTGGTTGTTGAATGATATTTCGTTTTTATTTCACTTATTGTAATTATATAACTTGGTTTTAGGTGAAAAGTTAAGCACATTAGGCAACAAGTATAAAATATAAAATTTAACGATGTCGAAAAGAGATTTCTATCAATCTGAGTTAAAACAGATGTTGCAATATATATTGAACTGTTCAAGTTCTTCCCTGTAATGTTAATCATGAAAATTTATTTGGTGCATTATAGATGTTACCGTTTGTTTTTTAATTATTTGTGTTTTCAGGGCACAATCGACTCAATTGATTTTATTTTTGATAAATGGAACAGTTCTTTTTGTTCCCACTGCTTGGAAGAATCTGCTTTATATCATAATGTTAGTATATCAGACAGATCAATCTACAAGGTCAGACGATCGAACAATTCTTTGGGTATATTTTATAATTTGGAGGCCTACAGTGACAAAGTCATTACTTTCTTTGATAAACTGGATGACACTTTGAATTGTTTCAATAAGTTTTTCAGTATTCCTAACATATCTATTCTCAATGTATTAAATTTTCCTTCATCTAAAAGTTTGAATATAAGTCATCTGGTTTGTAATAACTGTTCTACCGTGTACTACGCGTTGTTAGATTTTTACAATAATCAACTTTTAAGATATAACACACTGGAGGGAGACCATGGAAAACTCAAGGTACTAGCCCAAAATGGTTATCGTTTTGCTGTGTGCTTGGATGTACAAGATGCTATAAATCGTACTCAATGGGCGTGGTACAATTTGTTTCAATGCCGAACTGAGGAGATTAATCCGATTGGCTATCTGTTACCATTATTAATATGTATCGTTTTCTTGATAACTTTCCATGCTCTTGCTCAGTCAGTATGTCGTCATCCAGTTCATCTAATGGTATATAGACCAAAACGTGTTGAGCCTACAATCAGAACACAGCAGAGACTTCTTAGTACGTCTTCAGTTACACAGGACCACACATCATTGGTCAGAACATATGGTAGCATAGAATCTGTGGTGGAGACTAATTTAATAAACAAAAACACAGTCACGAGAAGTTTGTCATCGTCCTAACCACACCACCATCTAACTGATATCCATACATACAGCACTGGAGGATACACACACTGTAAACACCGAGAAGTAATGAAAAACAACTTGGTGTACTAAACAAAACTGTTTTAATGACTTTCACAAAATGATTCCATATTTTATTTATCCTTTTCACAGTCAATCAAGCAATTACCAATCAAGATTGTTATAGTATTTTCAATTTCACCGATTTTCTCTTCAATATGCTGAAGTATAAAATGACTGAAATTAAGGAAAATAATTTATGTACTTTTTTAATTTTCGAAAATTCCAACCATCTTATAAATAAGAAAAAAAGGATATCTTTATTGTTTACTTTGTCGATCATTTTTATCATGTTATCTTGGAATTGTTTCAATACCTCAGTCATCTACAGCATTCGATTTCAATGTAAAACAAATCGAAATATTACCAAACTGAATAATTCATTAAATCCCTCGTCCTCCGACATTTGTATATTTATAAATAAACTTTTTGTCTACTATAAATACAAATTATCGATTGGATTCGTGTGATTTTGAATGATCACCTGATTCTTAATTTTCACGTATTTTACAGAAAACTTAACTATTTCAGACGGTTTCTTGATAGCAGAAATCCAAATCTAGAGATTTAGAAGGTAAAAAAAAATAACAGAGTAAAGAATATTCTTTCCGATAACCTGTAGAACCTGGTAACGAACTTGCTTTGTAATGTATGGGAAAAAAGTAATGCTACCCGTACATTTGAATGTCATAATACGGTCTAAATTTGCTAAAATCCGTTGGCCGATAATACTAGTATACTCATGTTTAAGATCAGTTGGTTCCACTTTTAGGTAGATATTTTCCAGGGGACAGAAACACAGATAGATATATGGTTGGAAAATGAGAATACAATTTTAGATAGTATAAAATGTATTTAATACTTCTACCTGAATTGAATATTTTACAAAAACATTGATTTACATAAGGTAACACAGCATGGGAAAACATCAATGTGACTTCAACAAAAGTAGAAATCGAATAAGCTGTACAACTTGTATTCACCCCGTTGGTTGATCAATTGAGCATTATAATCTTATAAGCAGACCAGAACTGGTGTGAATCCTATGTAAAAATGGCAACAAGTAAGATATACTATTAGTTAGTGTATAATCACTTTTATCTGGCAGAAATATAAAGTATTTTTATGTGTAGGTTAAAGAGAAGACGAAGTTATACTTTTAAAAATATGTTCAATACACTTTCTATGGGATTTTCACACTTCGAAAAAAACGTCCGGAAAACATGCTGAAAATGCAACAGCTGTAATATAACGATGAACTATAAATTTATCACGATAACTATTATAAGCATTTTAAGAGTTCTGTCTGTAAATTACTGGGCCAGAATTACTTATCATTACCTGTTAAGTGTGATCTTTATAGTATTATTCTACAAACACTAGTGGAACAGAACATGTGTACTAGGTTAGTAAATATAGTGAAGTAGGATTATTATATGTTGGTACTAAAAAAATATAAGTAGATTTGAGGACATAAGTTAATGTGTGCTGTGAAGTCATAAGATAAAATATGGGCGTGTCAACTTAGCATAAAATGGCTTTCTACCATTCTAAATGTCATCCCAGATAGTAGATGACTTGGTGACTTGACACGCTATGGCTTAAAGCTGAAATTAATATCAGGGATATTGTGCATTCCTGGTTCCCCATTTTAATAATAATAATAATTTGCTTTATTCCAAAAGAGTACTTGTGACACAAAGGAATTTTCAGCATTTTACTACAATATTGCGCATCCAGTTAGTACATTAACAATAAATAAAGTTCTACATAGATTAAGGTTAATCTCAGTTGGTTTTGATAACAACATATTGGCATGTCGGTAGCAAAGCCAAAATTGAACAGTGTTTGAAGGTGTTAGAAAAATAGATGCTAGCATATTTACTGACTTAAGCGGTAACAAAAAGGTCGAGATATACAGAGTGTGAGAGAACGAAGAAGGATGTTTTAAATAGAGTTTGTAAGGAAAAAAGAAACAAAGCAGCACATAACAGAAAAAAAGAGAAAAGAAAAAGAAAGAAAACGTAGCTATAAATGATATGAGTTGGAAAGACGAGATCCAGTTGTTTTACTGACTATTTAATAATTTATAGGTATCACGCCTAATGCTTTCTTTATCGCACAGAACACGAGCTAAGTAGGGTATGATTGAGTGTTTGTACTTGCTAGTGCGAGCATATAGTTTTCTATATAGGCTTCTGGTCCTACCTGATGAGATACAAGGGGAGAGTTGTGTATGAAGAGGGTGTTGTGAGTTAGATAAAATGGATTTAGCCCATTTTTCACATGAGTCCAAGTACCTATCGACCAGAACATTAAGAAGCTGGTTAAGTGGCAAAAAAGACCCGAATGTGTTTAGGTAACTGATCTTGCTTTCCTCATCAGTAGTATCTTCCACATAACGTAATATACATTAAAATTACCACATTAACTACTCATTAAGGGTTAATGTCATGTTCCCCTCGCTTTGTATGATTTTCAGTAAACCTACACCGACAAATACTGCATACTACTAGCATATAGATCTAAGAGTCCATCTAACCTTTAGTCTTTAGTATTCCATAATGGCATTCGATTTGTTTAGTTAACATTATGTTCTTAAAATCAGCATTTCACTTAACGGTTGTGTTTCGAATGCATTGATGATTCAATACATAAAAGCACTGTCTGTCACCAATTTCCAATAACCATGTGAAAACTCCAAAAAAATAGGATATGGTGAACTGGTCTTTTACTCATCTTGTGAATAACCACAGGTAGTATGGACCAACAAAAACCTGTGAGTGCCAAGTTCTTTTCACTCACAGTTTTGAGGAAACAGAGTGTTTAAGTGATTGACACAATTAGACCTTTTTTAAATTTCTTCTGACAGGTGTCTACTTGTCTTCTCATTTAGTACGGAATACAGATGAAGGTATACCATTTCTTCTCTCGTTCTCCCTTTCAACTGTAAGAATGAACTTTGGAACTTAAAGTATAACGTAGTTCTTACTGGAAGGATTTTCATGAAAGTCAATATCATCCACTCCAACTTTTTTACATATTCATATTCGTAAGTAACGATTTAAATAATTAAATGAGATGAATGACATATATGTCATCAATGGGAAAGTTAAAAAAACTTACGAATTTAAAGTTCCAGCACCTAAATGAGCTAGTAGGTGATACATATGACCCAGGTAAGAATCTTTGCCAAGATTTCGATTGAATATTTCCTAAATTCGAAGTATTTAACAAATAGAGGTACATTATCATTACTACAATATTGTAACACTGAGTTAACACATTCGAACAGAAATCATGAGCAGATTAAGAAGCTGAGAACTCACAGCTACATCGTTGTTCAATTTGCGGTCAATAGCTATGTTAGCAAGTGTTCTGAGTAGGCAACTGTACACCGTTTCTTTTTAATTAGTATGCACTGACGACTGTTTTCGGGATTATACAGCTAACTCCAAAAAAATGTAACAAGTTGCTTATAAAATCATAAGGATTGCTTAACAGTTCTTTCATGAGTGCTAAGATCGGATGTTTTCGTTATTTTTGAAATGGGTTCTACGTGTGATTGCACAGGTCATCATAACTTTACTTCACGTGACTCAATTGAATACAACCGCAATAGGAAAATCTTAAGCAACAAGATGAGGCAGAACGAGGGATGGCTCACACTGCGAACACCTGGAAGCCGATAGAGAGAAGGAAAGTGTGGCAGATGATCAAGGACAGAGATGAACTAAGTAAAAAAAGCTGATTATAATCTACAGCATACTGTACAAAGTAGTTAGGAGGGGTAAGCGAATGCCAAAAAACGATTTTACGAAAAACTGGCAATTGAAGCAAAAGGCTGCAGGTAAGAGAGACGACGCTTCCTATCCAGGAAGAGATCAATGCAGGTGAAATATAGTGAAGGGAACCTAATTATAAAAAGGAGGAACAAAGCAAACGCTATGTCGATCATTTCGAAAGACTGCTGAGTTGCCCACCACTTACAACTCGTCCGGAAGTAGCATCAGCAGACACAGAGCCAGAAGGAGAATCAAAGCTTCCCAATTATACATCAATATTATGCATGTGAACTACAAGTCTTCCCCCATCATTTGTGGACACAGAACCACCTACCCTTCTTGAAAACCATAAGTTTACTAAGTACCAAAAAAGCAGCAGAGCTAAATGGGGTTCTTCCAGATATGTGGGCCTACAGACCTCAGCCGATATGCTTACGCTCCTACTGTAGAAGGCGTGGAATGAAGCAAAGGTATTTGCTGTTTGGAAGAAAGGCTATTTTGTCAAACCTTCAAAGAAGGACAGTTTAAACTCATGCAAGAATTGTTTCTGTCCACCCTAAACAAAGCACTAAACTGCATCGTCCTGGAAAGACTAGAAGATGTTCAAGATGAAAGACTGTGACTGGAACAGGCTTGATCTACAAAAAAGAAATCATGCGCGGAACAAATCGCAACACAAGATATGATTACTGAGCACAGTATAGAATGGCAGTCAAATCTTTACCTCAAATCCATCGATTTTGCAACACCTTTTGGCAACGCTGACCATGATGTAATCTGGGAACTGCTTCAACACTACTGAGTGCCTCTAACCTTCATCAACCTCATCCAGCAGCTATATGATGATGCCACATCAAGGTGATTCACAAAAGGCCCAGTCAATACTTCTTAGTAAATGCAGTAAGACAAGGCTGCCTTCTATCACTGGTGATAGTGTCAGTTGTAGTCGACTGAATCATGCAACAGACCGTAGGGAGTGAGAAACTGAGTATACGTTGGACTGATTAAAAGAAATACTGAGAGATATAGACTTCGCCATTGACTTATGCCTGGCGTCTCACAAACTCAAAAGTCTACAGGTGAATCCCAACAAGTTCATAGAAGAGGCAGTGAAGAGAGGATTTTAAGTGGACATAGAGAAGATAGCCAGCCACCATCAATGGGAGATATCTAAGGGGAGTCGTGTCTTTCATTTACCTGGGTAGCATTGTTTCAACTAAAGGCTACACGGATAAGAATGTCAAAGTTAACAATAAGGAAAGAAGACAGGCGTTCATTGCTATGGGATCGGTGTTGAAACTTTATGTTCCACTTCAACTGAAAGCAATGAATACTACTACTACTAATAATAATATCAGCAAAGGAAATACTGAGGGTGATCTTGGGTTGAATTACACAACGTTCTTGCGGTCGTAACTGGTTACTTAACAGTTCTAACATGTTTGTAAATTAATGATGGGACAACTGAGTGTTAAATACCAGGAAAATACTTTGATTACTAAATCTTCATTTCGTAAAAGCAAAAGTAACCATAAAACCAGACAATTGAGGTGGTCGAAATCTTTCGCTTTTTTCCTAATATTATGAAAGGACGTCTTTATTGTTACCAGTCACGAACTTGTATACTTGCTGCAAACTTGGAAGTAAGCAAGTGAGATGAACAAACCTATTTCACATAAGGATTTGAAAATATTGAGTACTGTGTAAGTAGTGTTTATTGTTACTAGAAACTCGTATATTTTAATACGATAATTACAAATTTTGTCTAGCTTTTTATTTATTAAGACGCAATAATAATTTTAAAAAAGTTAAATAA